CATATATATGTTAGATTATTTTGCAATTAGATCTGTACATGTAAATATTTTTTCTGTAATTTTATTAAACGTCATTTTTTTCGTTGGGAAAATTAATGGCTCATATACAAGCGTATATAACTTAACGTGTCATCGTGCATGGCCAAAGATGGATGTTTCAACAAAATTAAATAATATCTTATTAAATAAATATAATTCGTAAAAACATACCGTTGTCTTTGGCACTACGCGCAATAACAGGAGAAACGCTGTCGGCGATTAATAGTTTCTGTGATTGTCTCGTTCTCGATAACTATATTTTTTCATAATTTTATATTATTTTATCATTAAAGAATAAATAATACAGCGTTATATAATTGTAGTCTTGATCGAGAAGATTAAGTGCGCCGAAATTATACATGCTAGAATCGATCTTTGCACGTATAAAGTACAAAATTCATTAAATTCATTAAATGTATGTGTAATAAAGAAGGAAACATAAAACTAATTAACTTTATATTTTAGAAAATAAATTTATATCGATGGTCTCACGCACATAATTTCGACGACGTAATCTCTCGTGAAACGTATACAATTTCTGCCTATCTTATCGTATACTGTTCTCACCCGTCACGGTAATCATGATTAATTTCCCCAACGAGACAATTTGAGCGATTCGCATCAAAGAACTCGATTTGTAGACCAGAGTCCTTTTTTATACTTCCACCTTATTGCGAAGGGGAAACGGTCGATGGATCGTACGATCGATCAACGCGCATCTCACGTAGAGGAGCGTCCACGCACGTGCGTCCGCGCAACGCACACGCGACGTAACTTATGAATTTGAATAATTCTTCCGATTTAACCAGGACAATAACTATACTGACTTTTCTCGCACCTGAGTCTTTCGGTATACGTGGGTTATCTCTCTTCTCTTTTTTTTTTTTTTTTTTTAGTTTTAGTATACTAGAACGCCGATCGCGTGAGGACATAATGTGCAACGCTGACATTCCTCTTTAACCACAGAAATCGATTCGTACGATTCGATTTCGAGATTGTTGTCGTATCTTCTGCGTGGTCCGTCCGGAATATTTTTCCCGAATAAATTTCGAATACGATATGTCATGAGGAACACCAATGCATTGCCGACGCGTCACTCGGCTCCCGGCAGGAGCGGTTGTGTTGTTACATTAAAACTTTTATACAAGATTTTCGTGTATGCGAGCGTATTGAAAATATTAATAAAATTTTTGTCTTATGCTCTTTCTCTGTTTCTTCTCGCTCCCTCGTCCTCTATTCGTGTCGTCCGTAGTGCTCCGTCGATCAGAGAGGATGGTACCGATGATCCATCCTTTTGGACGAACCATCGTGTCTCGATCGTTGAGAGATCAACGAGACACACGTCCTCGCGTGACGCGTGTGACGTTAACGAGGGGCGTTTTTATTATTTCGTACCCTTATTCGTCGTGAATTCGCTCTCACATATAATCGACGTTTTAATTTCATTAAACTTTTTTTCTTAATAAACATGCTCTGTTATGGCGTATCGCGTTATAAAGATCTCTCGAAAATTTCATTCCCCTTCTTTAAAAATGTTCTTTCCTCTCGCTTCTATTCCCTCATTCGCGTGTTCGTTTCTCTCTGTCATCGTTTGCTCGTTAACATATTTACGTATGTCAGGGACATGCGCGCGATAAGATTTGTATAGAAATATAAAGATTCTTCTAATAACGGGGAATGAGGGACAAGCGATTGGAAAAGAAAAATATATAGATTAAAAAGGATTCTACTTTTTTACTTTTTTCGAGGGAAGCGGAGGGGAGCTGCGTATTTGTAACTAACGTGATATTAGCTAAAAAGACAATCATAATTTTAATAAAATTTTAAGAAAAATGCGATAATTGTGTTGAGTAACGAAAATATCGGAATATCGAATTTAGCGACGAAAATAAATGCATGAAATAGGAAAAAAAGAATGCGAGAAAGATGCGATCGAAAGCAAAAAGACAAGAAATTTATATTCGGATTTGCAAAGAATCGTAACAATCAAAGTCGGATGAAATGAGCGTATATGCGGTAAGGAACACACACATACGAGAACGAAAGACAGATACTAGAGATGTCGTGATGATATAAGATCTGTCTTTATCGAGAAAAAAAGGATGAGAAAAGGTCAAATATAAAAAAAATTTTCTTACCGCGAATTCGCTACTAATTTCAAGAGAAAAGTCGTCTGCGAGCATCGACACGATTACAGAAGTAATGCTCATGTTTACGAGCATCTCGATGATCGCTATCACTCGTTTTCGCAAAAAAACAAACAAACGGCTTGATAAAATCTCGATTGATGTTATAAATTGATTAATCAATTGATGAAAATATATACGGAAAGAATAATTTTACTGTAAGATTTAAAAATTTGACTAAATACTGATCTGAAAAATAATTTTGTTGCACCATTATTAAGTAGGACGTTTAGGTATAATGATAATACTGCAAAATTTTTTAATATTCTAGCAACCAATTTCAACATTCTACATAATTATTTTGATGTCTAATAAAATTATTTTTTTAGATCTACATTTAGCGAAACTGTTCTATCCGTGTAATTTTCAAAGATATTAAATTTTATAATTATTTCAAAAATTGTTAATGAATATTTCACAAAAACCACAACTTTCAGTTTCTGAAATTCAACAATACTTACGATATTTTTTACATAAAATTTGATATTAATATTTTTTGAAAAATTTTGTAAATTATTATGTAAACAGATTTTAATAATAAGTTAAATTCCGTATTTTTGTAATAAAAAAAATATTGTTAAGCATGATGAAGTACAGACAAAAATGTCAAATGGAAATAAAAAGAAATAGTAAATATTATCGTGAAAATCTTTGACGCTGTAAATTAAACAAAAATATATATTATAGAAATATATATATTATAGATTCTTAAACCATAACAGAATTTAGCCATTGCATGATACTAGTCTACATGTATGATAGATGTACGCAAAATTCCATTATTTTCGGCCATTGTTTTTCCTATGTTTCTTTTCTTACTTCGCACGTACTTACCTTCTCTGATGCAATTTCTAATCGCAGAATCACGTTAAGAAAGGATGAAAAAAGCAACGACAGAACAATGCGTTTTTTTCTCGATTTCTTGCCTAATTTTTTGTTTTTCTGTTCACTTTTTTTCGCAAGAAAAGCCAGCATGTTGGAAAAACAAAGGCAAATCAACACGTGCTCGCAAGACGATTCTCCCAATTGAATTTTGCCCTCTCCTTCATTTTACTTTTCACAATTCAATTAATTGGTTATACAGAATATATTATAATAAAAGCTGTAAATTCGCGCATATGTGCGCATGTGTATTTTTGTTTAATTGTTTTTATGATCATGGGAGAATATGTTCTGCATTACGTGTACAGTGTGTCTACATATAATGCCTCTGTCTTTTTACGAAGTTGAGAGAAATATACTTGAATGTATGTATAAATGTGTATTAGAGCTGGGATTGGATTGGGTTTTAGAGGGTGGGATATTCTCAGAGAGATATTGCTGCGTCATCGAATGTACGACAAAGAGCCTCAATTCTCTCTCTCTCTCTCTCTCTCTCTCTCTCTCTCTCTTTCTCTCGGATGTATCATTCTGCTAGTATCTTGCGCGCGTATCATGCGTGAGTTGTGTGTTTCCACGTGTCCACGTATACACGGCCGGTCCCGCGGTATTCATGCAAGGATTTATGGCGCGTCCACTCATTCATAAAAATATTATTCAAATTTAGACTGTCTAGACGACGTACGATGAGGTACCGGACTGCCACACGAAAGAGGATGGAAATATTGTGCTCAGAATCATCGAGATGCCGAAAGAACGAGAAAGAGAAAAGGGGGAAAGGGGCAGATCTATCGTCCATATTTATCTTATCTACTGATAGCTCGAAATTTTATCTTAATGTTTGTTTTTGTAAGTAGTACACTTGACCTGGAAGGAAGTTCAAAATCTTATCTTAATTTATTTCCGGTGATATATTTGACCATTCCTGCAGCCCTTATTAGAAAAAAGATTCTTGAAGAATAAATCATAAGACGACCAAGAATTTGCAACTGTTTTAGAATACAAATGTTTTATTCTATAACATTAAGAAAACAATTGTTTTTTAATGAATCAAAATAATTAATTTTGATTAGAATTTTTATTTAAGCGCGCGCTATTTATTTTTATAACAGAAGGAATAGAGACTAATTAATATTATTACAGAATACTATTTTTTTTTATACATATAACTGTCAAATATATGTAATCATTAAAATATAGAATTTTTGCGATGACAACAACTCATGAAGTAAATGCAACAAAAGAACCAATTGATATTGAGGCAACAATAAATTTCAATTCTACTTCAGATTCTACTTTCAAATTTCGATGCATTTTCTAAAAAGAATTTTAATTATTATAATTAAAATGTTTATAAAATATAAATTTTGATATTACAAAGAAGAAATTTTTTGTATAAAATAAGCATAAAAGCATATATTTTGCTTTCTCTGTTAATATTAAAAAAAATTAAGAATTTATATTTTTAATTAATTTTTCGAATTATTAATTAGAGAATAAAATATTTGACAACAAATAAAAAGAATTGGGAAAAATTCTTTCAAGAGATTTATTCAAAAGATTATTGATATTGTTGATTAAAGATTACAAAATTGATATGCACGCAGAAAATATACATAGAATGTATATACATAGAATGTATATTTTCTGCGTGCTATACTTTATGTGTCTTTACAAAAAAAAGTCTCGAT